TTCTATTATTACTTATTCTCCCGGCTAAATTACAAGGACTTAGCTGGCAGCCAAGAAGGGAAAAATTCTTATTAGATCATGCGTGTTTTTTTTTTTTTTTGCCGCTTGAGAGCTAAGAGACCTGTGTCTTTCTAAAAATCATCGACGCTATCAAAGCTTGACTGACTAATATCATAATTGTCTATATAACTTGGCCGCTAAAAAAAACCCCAGTTACTCTGAATTCCTTTAAGAAATTCTCGCGAGACGCAAATGACACGGCGTCTAATCACTTAAATTCTGATGAATGAATTTTTTTATTCAGTAAGGCACAGATATATAATTACATACTCCTAAAAGAGAAGTTTGATGAAAAAGAAAAGAGAAGAAAATAGAATTAAATAAGATTCTCCCGAACGATTTTAATGGGAATCACTCGTATCGGCGAAATTCATTAACAGGTGTTTTGTACTAATGGGTTGTAGCATATTCCTCCAGTCAGGACAGGTCTGTGCCAAGTCAAAATTATATTTCTCGGCTGATTGAAATAACTTGTGGTCGAAAGAAACTTGTCCCATTAACACCAGCAAGACATTTACAGGGCTCGACACTAACTGTAGCCCACTAGCCACAGACTAGTAGAAATTCAGTTTTGGCTTGTGGTTTTCGATTTCCGCTGGCTAGTTTGGCTAGTAAATAAACTGAAATAGTCATAGCATCTAAGATGTCACTAGCCACTTGGCTAGTAAGTTGAAAAGTTAATGTCGAACCCGGATTTGAGTAAAAGTTAAGACAGTTAAGTAAAACCGGGTTTAACTGAATGCCAATCAGAAACAGATCTGAAAATCTGAATTTTCTAGAGGATTCGAGTGGTCACCAACTTGCATTTTCAATGTGTTAAATTTAAATTCGACAATCCACGGTTTAAGCAGCTTCTATACAGAAAAAAAAAATGACTATCTTTAAGAGAATAGCTTTTAAACACGTTTGAGCTTTAATGTGAATAAGATTTAAAACAGATTTGCAAGCAAAGGATTTTGATGCAAATTTCCCGTGTGTTGAGTGCTTTTCATTTCTTCACTTCCTTCTGCTCAACGCGGCTCTCAAAGCTTTTCGATATTTCGGCAGTCGCCAAGCGAACAAAAACGGGTCCAGGAAAAACTTCAAATAAAGAGTATTGTCCGCGATAACGCGAACCACAAAAAGGGTTTGGCTGTTTTTCGTGTCCTCATCAGCGTACAAATATATATACCACAATATTGCGGTTGGCTGCGAGCATAGCAATAGTACCACAATGAGAAGGATATTTAGTCGCACAAAGTTCCTCTCGATCATTGGTTTTGATTTTCGTCTCTGTTTTCGAGGGTGAAGTTCTAGTGTTGTGGACATGCTTACTGAGTTTGTGGTGTGTAGGGTAGCGGATCTTGCCGTCATTTGTTTGCGGAATGCTCTTTGAAGTAAAGCGTAAGTTAAGATGGTAAATAACAGTGACAATGTTGAGTGGATGTATAAGTCGATTTTTTCAACCAACTCTTTAGGGACTCCAACGGTTTGAGACATCTCAAAGAGGGTGGAATAAACCCAGATACATGCCACGCAAAGTAACGTCTTTCGAACGCTGATGAAAGGCTTGTACTTGAGCGGAAACGCAATGGCTACATACTGCGCGAAAGTGAACGCCATAACTATCAAAAACGACGAATTAGTGGTAATAGCAGCAATGATACCAGCAATGTTAAATATCTTTTCACAGCGTTCCACCCCGGAATGTTGATGGTGGTGCATGAAGTAACAGCTTGTTACCATAGGCTCTGGAACAAGACCTGTTGCCACATCCGTGATGGCGAGACCCACGAGAAAGCACGCGGTCGGCGTGCGGAACGTCTTGAACGGATCTTTGTAAATTGCTATTAAAAGTAATACGTTTGCGAGGACCGTTAACGGACATATCACTGCTAAAAACGAACCAGACACTAAGAAAACTGCACCCAGGTTTGGTTGATCAACATCAGTGATATTAAACGTTGAATTCATGATTTTGTTCGTGTTTATTAGATCGTCTTCAACCTCGTCTTGGTATTTCTGGTCACCTTCGTCTTAGGACTTTTGCTTTAGGCCACACTTTGTTTCTTCAGTCAGTCTTTACAGGTCTAGACGATTTCGTTTCAGTCATTTGATTTTTGATTCATCTGGCGGTTCGACGTGTAGTCTTGTTCATGACGCGTCTTTCCCCCTCTGCATGCAGTAGTCGTCAAAACATGTTACTAACAAAGGTAACCAATGTTCCTTTAGATCAAATCCGTCGACCTTAGCGCTGGATTATAATTGAACAATGCGTATTTTAGCCTTAAGATGTGTGCCTTTTTGAGAAAAAGAAAGTGAATTAAATGCTCTTAGAAACTGTATCCCAGTGCGATGAAATATAAATTTGACAAACCGTTTCCTAGATACTTTAATCAACCTCTGAAGCGTTCCATCGTTTTTTTGTTTCACATTTCAACTCTGGTCACGGTGTACTTGTCAATCTTGCGAAAACATTTGATGACCCGTCAATTTTCTGTCTTCGATACCTCTCGCTCTCGATAGTTTGCTCACGTTGAGGGTTTTTTTTTTCTTTTCTTTTCTTTTCTTTTCTTTTCTTTTCTTTTTTTTTTGGATTGTTTTCGTCGGTGTTAACTCGAAAAATTCTGTGGTTTTAAAGGGGTGCACCTGTTATATGTTTACATTACACACAAAGCAAGGTTCTTCTGTTTGACTTGTGCTGTTTTAAAAGTGATTTTCAAATGTTCAACCCAACTATGGACAAAATAACTAGTTTTTGGGCTTGTGTCACTTTTGAAGTCTTTGTATTTCATTTCGATCTCAGTTTCGTGGTAGCGCAGATTAACAGCTTTAACCCCGGTTCGTTCCCGCCGAGTTTAATTGGTACTCTGTTCACAAAGTGTTTCCCTCCTCGTGCAGTATGATTGACCGGAAGAAAATTTCATTATGTTGAGCTGTTAAAAAATTTCCATTTCAAGTGATCCGACTAATTCGCATTCAGTTATGCGTTGGGAATTGATAAACCGAAGATAACCATAAGAGAGAGTTTTATTTTGTAAAAGTAATAGAAAGACTTTTTTTAATTTAATTTTTTTCTATCGACCGAATTGCTTAAAGTTTTGTCCTCAATTTTTGTGGTTTTCAAAATTAACTTTGAAACCATTCTCGCAAACGTCTAACGCGTTAGAGTAATATCTTTAGATTTTGACTTTGATGCACAGATAAACTTTTTTTTCCCTAAATTAGCAAAACAGGAATTTTTTTCCCGGGCCTATTACTGTTTTAAAAAATAATAATAAGTGGGGTTCAGTGGGCGTTCTACAAAATTGATGTGGGGATTAATTATGAGGTGAAAATTGTTTGAAATAAAGCGTTTGTGTCGCACAATTGTGTAAATGTTGCACACCTAATGGGAGAGAACGTCTTTGTTCATGTTTCAAAAGTCGCACAGATACTCTCGCTTTTTTTCGAATGAATTTCAACAATGATCACACCTAGCAACTTGTGTTGCTTCGATAAAATGTCCGACTGTTGGTTTCTTTGTATTTCGTCCTTACGTAGACTACGGCCGTTTGATCACAAGATTCGTTTCCGTCAAAACCATAATTTTTTGGTGTGTCCGATTAGAATCAAAATGCAATAAGTTTTGTTTGTTTATACTTGCGGAGAGAACTTTTTATTATTTTACTGTCAGAAGATGACTTTGAGAACACGATATTAAATGTTCAGAAATTAATCTTCGACGAAATTATTTGAGACAGTAAAGGTTGATGTCAAACTGTTCAAATAAGATATACTGCAGTGTTTGTTTATTAAAAATTGAAACAGAAGTAAAACTTTTGGCAAGTATTTCGGACAATTAATCCGTATAGCATCTGAGTAATCGCGCTTAAAAGAAATTGTTAGGAATAAAGATTTCGATTTCCCATAGCATATTGAATTGTTTTCTTCTAAATTTCAGTGGTATTATCCAGACCAGCTTTTAATCTGCAATACAAATACGAAGCTCAATTTCTTCAGAAAGACTGTGGAATACTGTTTTTTTTTTTCCTCAATATTGGTAAAAAATAATAAACATGTTATTTCCGCCTGGAAATAATATGACTTACAAAATTCATTCTGTTTTTCGACTCGCTATTTTTTAAAGAAAAACATTACTCAGGAGTACTCTCGAAATGCTGATTTTCCTACATCTCAATAAATCAGAAGTGTTATTTATATCTCCGCTGATGATTGATTTTTTTTTCTCTTACAGCTTCTTGATAGTATGGAAACTGCGCAGAAGTGGTGAGCATATTAATTCCATTTTCATTTCGACAGTTTTTTTTTTTCGTTCTCCAATGCGAATATTGTTTCGGAATCCTAAAACCCTTTTCAGCTTAAAACCAGTTTTGTATTTTCCAAACTGTTCTCCATACATTGTCTAAAGTGCTGACGAGGATAATTTATTCAACGATTTAGAGTTTCTCTGCTGGGTGATCGTTTCCAATATTCTCATAACCTTAAAGTTTGATTCAACAGTGATACGGTAAGGAGAAAAGAGATATCAATCTTTCCTAGGGTGAATATTGGCACCAGTTTCATGAGTGGCGTTATAATTTTGGACCTAAACCCTTACCACGAACTAGTGCTATTTGGAGTGTTTTCTTTTTTCTATCCAACCTTAGATGTTACGTTTAGCTAGCCTGCAAGTTAGCTCTGTTCTGTCGCACTCTGTTATAATCGTCTCACTTTGTAACACCAGTCACACTCTGTATTCAAACTGTCGCACTTTGTAACACCTGTCTCATTTTGCAATAACTCTCATCGCACTTTGAGATAAAAAAGTTGTCACACTTTATAATAGACTTGGTATAGGAGTGGAATGGAAAGTACACCCGATGATAGCTGTCATTCTTGTCGATAATATTGATGGTGACAATACTGAGGATGAAAGCGATGTTTGCAGTAATGAGCACTACTTAAACAGTGGTAAAAAAAATAACGCCTAAAAAAGAAAAAAAAAAACAACTAAAACAACAAGAACAACAACACCAGCTGCGATGTTCCGGACTCAAGATTTTCCTCGGAAGTGCATTTATCAACTCCATCCAACCTCGTTCCCAGGGTCTCTCGTCTTCCCGCCCCCTGGAGCAAGAGAAGAGAGATAATATCAAGACGATGAAGAACTCCAATTCCAGCTTCCTGCGATTACTACAAAAGTTTCCCCCAAGGAAACCGCAGTTTTACGTAGAACTCGACTAGATAAACTGCCATTATTAAGGACTCACTCTATCATGAAAACTATCTTGCGGTCTCGAGATCGTCCGCAAAGATAGAGTTGATTGCTACACTTTCTCAGGAAGATCCTGTAGCCGGAACCCCGCAGCTGTTGTCTTCGGTGCAACAGATAGTTTTCCCCCCTAACATCATTCAGGATTACAGAATTCAGAAAACTTGTATGCGTTGAATTTCTTTCAGGTTTCTCCGAGCCCACCAAAACGACGAGGAATACACAATCCCTCACATTTACTGGGATATTTTGCCGAGAGCAAGCGCCAGTCAAGTCCATCCTCACCTCCATGTGACTTTGGCACGTGACCATTACTACGGTAAGGATTATGACCACTTACTTCCTCCTCCCCTCCTACCCCCCTCTCCTCCCCCCCTCTCATAGGTAATGAGAATACACATTAATCAGGTGGAAATGTCATCTGCTGTTTTAAATTCTCTGTACCACTTAACAAGCAAATGACTAGGAACCAGAAGGGAGAATTGCTCATTGGATCATTTGTGAATGTTCTTTAGCCAGGTGGGCCCATTTCCACATGGCCGCCATGAAATACGCTGCGGATCATAATGGAGAAAACTATTTCTCAGCTTTGAATAGAGTAAGTAGGAATCTTTGTTGGGAATATTGATAATTTATTTTCGGTATATACCATACTAGTTGATGGTGCTGTCTGCATGCGGTGATTGGTTAGTTCGGAGGTGGATAGCAAGTAATTTTCACCTCCGAGCAGCCGACGAGACAGAATCGCGCGTCTAGAGTTTGATATCTGACCATGTTTCGGTATATTGAAAAAATAAACTAATTTCGGGGGTAACTGTGTGATATAAACTTGAAATTTATCAATCTCAGTGTCAGTGAAAGTGATGGATAATTAACTAGGTGCGTCGGGGCTAGGTAAATATCCACCACTATTCACCTCCACTTCGGTGAATAATTTTGAGATGTTATATTCGAACATTCCTTTAACCCTTTACACCCTAACAGCTGCATTTTTTTTCTTCATATTGTTCTCTCTACATTTCCAGAGAGAGTATCAAGAAGAATATGTGTTACAATCGAGAGCTTCTTCATTAGCGATTACTGTATGCCTTTATCTTTGCGACTCTGTTGTTTGATTTAGGGGTGATATTGTTAAGAGAATTGAATGGTGGTCACTCTCTAGGGGCAAAGGGTTAACAGGGTAGCCTCGCCTTTGACAATGAAGAATGCGCGAAGGGAAACTCCTCCTGTTCGAAGCTTTTCATGGCATAATCTGATTGTCTACGTGGGAATTTGATATGTTACCCGGACCACCCCCTCTCCTTCCCCCTCCCCTTCCCCCTCCCCTTTCTCCTCCCCTTCCCCCTCTTTTTCTCCCCCTCCCCTTCCTCCTCTTTTTCTCCCTCCTCCCCTTTTCCCTCTTTTTCTCTCCCTTTCCTTCCCCCTCCCCTTTCTCGTCCCCTTCCCCCTTTTTTTCTGCCCCTCCTCTTCCTCCTCTTTTTCTCACCCCTCCCCTTTTCCCTCTTTTTCTCCCCCTCCCCTTCCCCCTCTGTCCACAATCCTTTCTATCTGTAGTGCTTCATTAACACTCCTGCTGGGTGGAGAGACGCAATGTAAAGACAATGTAGTGTTTTATTAAAGAACGCAAAAGAGAGTCCAGTAGGCTTAGTGTTATTTACGTTATCACGTCTACTAGAGCACTAAATGTTTCTGGAAAAATTTTTAAATAAACGATACTRMWTTTTWARGRRRTTTTTTTATCCCGTGGTCTTGCAGATCCACAGCGCGTTGGGTCTTTCAGTGCAGCACGGCAACGCCAGTGTTCTAGCATACGTGGTAAGTTTTTTCTTTGTTGTCTTTAACCTTGCTTGTCTGTTGAAGCATTACTTAGCAGGGACACTTCGTTACCTTAGTCGCCCAGACACTTTTTTGTTAGGGTCCTTTTTAGCGCACCCAGCCATTCCTCTCTTCTGTTAAGCTGATATTAAGCTTGGGAACCTGGCCAAATCTCCAGTCCTCCGTATTATTTTAGAGGTAACCCTTTCATTGTTGTTTCCTTCGAAGCTCAGCTCTTCCACAAATACGCGGTACCTTAATGCTGCATTCTTTCCGTCCATCGGAAAGAGAGGAACAGAACTGCTCAGAAAATATAAACGGAGCACTTACATGAAAGCCGTGACTGAGAAATTTCTTAAAGAAGCTAAAGAATGTCGCGATGGTGTTGGCACTATTAAAGTTACAATGGAACTCTCTTTTGTGACACCTTGATTTAGGGACACATAGTCAGGTCCTAACAGGAAAAACACACTCTATAATGGAATGGACACCGTCATTTAGGGGACGCTTTTGCAAGTCTCGAGGAAGAACCCCGATCGGATATTCATTATGTCCTTTATAGTCAACCTTACATTCACAGATTTGCCATTTTTTTTTCTTTCTCAGACTCCTGCCGCGTCCTACGAAATTTACTTGTTCAGCAAGACGCCTTGTAAAGATCTCTTCCAACTTCTCTACTACTCTATTGCCGGTAAGTTAGTGTTTTCTTTAGCGCAGGAATGTCTCATAATCTTGTAATGACGAGAACGAAGGACAAAGGAATGTTATTTTTTAATTTTTTGTTTTTCTTATTTGCAGCTCTAAGGGATGACATGGAATTGTACGCCATGAGTGCAGGAATGGTATTCCCAAAATTGGTAAGAGTCAGAAACACACAACAAAGTTAGAACTCGTGGCCGAACGGACGGTCAGACAGACAGAGATAGACAAACTCACGGACAGATAGACAGACTGACCGAATGACAGACAGACAGACAGACAGTCATAGGGAGAAACAGACAGCCAGGTGGAGAGACACAGAGAGAGAGCGACAGATAATCAGATGAAAGGATATTTTGGCTTTATCAACTGAATTGATAATGTAAATTAGCCACCGTCAAGAGTTTCAAAGTTGACGTTTCGAGCGTTAGCCGTTCGTCAGAGCGAAAACGCTCGAAACGTCAGCTTTGAAACTCTGTATGGTGGCTAATTTACGTCAACGACTCAGTTGATAAAGCCAAACTTACCTTGTTACCCCACCGACCCAGCACCAGTTTCTTTAGAAACTTCCCCCCCCGCCCCGCATTTATTCAGATGGACAGACAGAGAACGAGAGATGGAAAACGCACGGACGGAAAAGGAGACAGACAAAAGAAAGAAGGACCCACGGATGATGAAAAAAAGACACATCTCCTATATTCTTTTTTTTTTTCATTGTTTTTTTTTCCACTTCTTTTCAGGGGCCTTTTACTGACGAAAGTGATTTACCCACAATCATAAGACTCGTGTACCGTGGACCAGCGGAAGCGTAAGTGCAACAGTTGATATCCGTTGTTATCTTTTAGCTTGTTCCTTTGTCAATGATAACATCCTAATTTAGCAACAAGTTGGAGTTTTAAGGGACGTATATGCTTCAGAGACCAAGAGACCAAGAGACCAAGAGACCAGTAATATTTTTTAATGCCATTTTAGAGAATATAGAAATATTTTAGAGCCCAAGCTTCCAAAAAATTGCCCTCAAAAAATGTGCGTAAAATTCTCCAGACAACGGACAGCGCCATTTTGAACCATGCTGAGCATCCCAGTCACTCTTCTCTGATCCATTACGTTCCATTTTTTCATTTCCTAACGATCTCCTTCAAAAATTAGCGGAAGTGGTCCCTTGTGCACAGTACATCTTAAAGTCTTGAAGGCCGAAAGGCCCATAACTGCCGGTGGGAGATTGGGGATGGTTGACTAACTTTTTGTTTATAATTTCGAAGGAGACGAGCGGATATCGATTCCCTCATGTTATTCGGGGTAAGTTGATGGGTTTTTTTTTTTTTTAGCTTAATTTGTCTTTCTCTCTCCATTTTGCAGGCTTCCTTAACATTCTGTTCTTTTCCTTTCCAGACTGTAAACGTCAATGTCGATCCTTACGTGGTGATTAGAAGCATCAAACAATCTATAGCCAAGCGAAGTGCATAACCCGAGTAGAAAAGTTCAGCGATAGCAGATCACGGAAGCCATGATTTGACACCCTTCTGTTCCGTAATTTACGAAAATTACCTAGCTATGAAATATGGGTACTAAATCTAATTTTCCCGGATGCAAGT